AACCACACACTGGGACTAAGTGGGTCTTACAGCACTGAGTCCTAAACACCTTTGCCAGGATAGCGGAAGTGCAAGCACAGTGTTCCTTCTGTATTAGTAGGAACACAGTATAAATCCTCTTTGTTCTTCTCACACCAGGCAGAGCTAGTTAGAAGATGCCACTAGCAGAGGGAAAAGGTGAGCTCTCCCCACTGTCCTCGCTCCAGAGGACAAAGAGCTCAGGTGTTGCCAATTCCCACAGTTATTATTCTAAGTCAAGAGAGGGACTATTGGCTGGTTATCTGTTTTATGGCCATCCATTCTCTATGCTGTTATTAACCCTCAAGCATCTGTCACACAGGCAGATACTGCAGTTGGAGATCCAGTGACTTGTTTCTGAGATCTGCACAAGCTCATGATGGAGGCAGTCAGTACTTAGGAGGTAACAGCATTCACCCTGAGCTATCTGCACCCTACACTGAGATTCATAATAACCCTGTAAGCTGTGACATATGGCAGAGCGATCATCTCTACACCAGAGCACTTTGTCTCCTGCAACATGACACAAAACTGATACTGTTGGCCGTGGGTTGCTGACATCTGGGACAAGCTCCTAGTCCCCTTGTTCCCCCATGGAGCTACGTAATTTGTTCCTGGGAATGGAAGTTAGCAGAGGTGATGTGTGTCAGTTCCTGGCAAGGCTCTTAAAGAGTGAGTGGGACTTCTTCCCATGTTCCTTCTCCTTCTACCCACAAGCAGAGACCTCACGGGCCCCTGGGCCAGCATAATCACAAGATAGAAGGGCCATCCTCAGTTGCCAGCCCACACTCTCATATGGACTCCTAGCAAGCCAAAGATATGTTATGATGCCAAGTGTTTTTGCAGCAGCTGGCTCCTCCTAGTAAACCTGGTGCTATTTCGCCCATGTTACAAAACTGAGGGCCAGAGAGATAAGCCCAGTGTGGACTCTTACTGAATACATCCTCTTCCAAGTCCTCTCTCTCAACCCTGTGACCAGCTTCAGAGACCCGAGTCTGCCTATTCTGCCTATTCGCCCATTGCAGAAGCCTGGAGTGAAGCCTGGACCCCACCTCTAGAGGGAGCTAACCCCACTCCCACAACAGGAATGGGGGAAACCCCACAGGACAAACAAAGTGCCCCCTGGAGATTCAATGTCAGTGACTATGACGCCTCACATAGCAGCAGTAGAGTCTTCCCTGCCTCCAAGCGTAATGATGCTGTTTGCCAGCTCCCTAAGCTTTCACCAGATTCTGAGACCAACTGGATAGCTAGAGCTTCTCCCATTCCTGGTGAGAAGCCCTGTACCAGATCAGCAGCACATGTGAGCCCAACTTACAAACTGTATATGAAGCTAGTGTTAACTACTATGAAAAACACAGCTAATAAAATCAGGTCCAAAGCCTGCCTATTCCAAACAAGTTCTCTGTGGGACTCAGGAGAAGAGTCTCGTCATCCCTGGAAGCCATGCATGACCTTCCACAGACTTTCTGATTTCATCTTTACCACTTGCTCCTGGTTTCCTATTTCTCACACAGTGCACACTACTGCCTCAGAATTTTTGCACTAGAAGAAGACTCTGGGGCATTAGAGTAATAGCAAGGGGGAATAAGAACGGACTAGGAGAGATTTTCCCCCCTCAGCCTGTGGGAAGATCACAACAGTGGCTATGGTTACACACAGCTGGAGCTAGACTGACACCCACACATTGCCAGGGCCTGCCTTCCTCTAGTTCCCAAAAAGTCTGAGACCTTCACAGCAGTGTGAATGGTGGTGGGAACACAGTTCCTGGAGGTTTCTAGACCATCCAACCATGGCTTTGGCTGGCAGAAAGGCTGGTAGCACAACGGAGCATTCTGTGTCTCTTTATGGAAGTTTGATATACAAGTTATCCCTACTGCCTCATTTATCAACAGTCACTCACCTGGCATTCAGAAATGATAGTGTCCTTTGGGTCTACTTTGACCATGGACATGGACTCTCGCTTAATTTGCTGCTGGGCCTCTTATCTCCTTGGTACAAATCCATGCCCTATTCTAAATGATACCTTCAAATCTGCCACAAGAATTACACCCACCCTTTTTTGTTTTTTCAAGCAAATTAGTTGCATAGACTTTTGAACTTATGGAAGAGAAAAAGAAACCAGGAGAAAGGTGGTCAGTAACTTGAGTATCTACTATGTATCTGGCAAGGAGCTAACTTTATATCAAAATCTCGGGTTTCTGAAGACCCAGTGAACAGGGAGAGATGTCAGAACTTGTATTGGTCCTTCGTCCATTGTAATAATGAAATATGAGAGTCTGGATCAATTGTTTTAAAAGATGTTAGTCTGCCATTTTGGAAGCCAATCAAGTTCTGCAAGGACCTTCTTGACTACATCACATCACAGTGGATGGCATCATGGCAGGAACGTGTGAGAAAAGGGGAGCTCACATGGTGAGATGAAAAATGGAGCAGCATTACATCTTTACAACTCTCTACAGGGGTGGGGGAGAAGAAAAGGAGGTGGAAGAGGAAGAAGACCTCAGACATCTCCAAAAGTACCCCAATCCCTTCTGAGAGCATGGTCCCATGACCTAATGACCTCCTACTAGACCATAGCTCTTAAAGGTCTCCATAGTACCGCTATATTTCCAACACATGAATCCTTGGGAGATACACTCAAGCCACATCCAAACCATGGCGGAGCCCTGGAAATAGTGAAAATGTGTGTTAGTTACTCTTCTGTTGCTGTGATCAAACACTATGACCACGGGAAGTTATAGAAGAGAGAACTTATATTGGTTTGTGGTTCCAGAGGCATAGGAATCCATCATGGCAGGGAATCATGACTCCCCTCTCTCATGACAGCAGACATGGTGACAGGAACAGCTGAGAACTTACATTTCAAATCACACACCAGAAACACACACACACACACACACACAGAGAGAGAGAGAGAGAGAGA